GGGGACAGTTGACATGCGCCGTGTTATGCATGGCTGCTGCACCCCGCGGGAGGTGCACAGCGTATGCCAAAACTCAGACATTTCAATGATTTGTACGGCACAGTTAGGTTTGGAAACGGTATAATTTCCTTTTTGGAGGACATGCTTAATACGGCATAAGACCGGAGCCTCGCTGCGGGGAAACTTTGGCGCTGTTCCGAGTTTGTTCTAATCTGTCAAAATGACGGACTGCTTTCAGATTTGGCCGTCATTGTTAAAAGAAATCCGTCATAGATGGAAAATATTCGGTTAACGCGACCTCTGCCGGGGACACATATTCATGTATAAAAGACATACAAGTGCATTTTGCATGATAGGTCCCCTTTAAGTTCATAAAAGAGAGAGGAAAAATACACTGAATTATATGAGAAGTGCATAAGTATCATTATATAATATGTCAAAATGAGATATTATATAATGACCCTAATAATCCAAAACCAGGCAATCATCTGTCAGAAATAATGCGCTAATCAAAACATAAGTATTTTAAGCTCCATATAAAGTGTATTTCATAAGCCTTACTGTAAATCAAAAATGTGTTTTTTAGATATCATAGTAATGGCTCCAAACATGTGTGTTTATCACACTTTAATAATAATGTTTACATGCAACAGTAATACATTACAAAGTGTATTATTGTGCGTATCGTTAATAAATATAGCTGTGGTGTATCGTACCATTTCCAGCTCCACCAATAACAGGTAAACAACACAACCTCAAAATCACATTATAACTGTAACTCATTAACCTGATGTGCTAGCTATGCTAATGTCGTTAGTGAGGAGATACTGAAGGTTAGGATACAGTTTGGTTTAAGTAAAACACACTAGTTCAGATACCCTTTGTAATTATACTGAAGACTATAATGGACAGGTTTTAAGAATGTATTTGACTTTGCATTTCTAGATTCTAGATTCAAGGTGTTGAGCAGTGTCATTGTGGAATGAAACTGTCTCTGAATCTGGTGGTTGTCAAAATGACATCGGGAAAAACAATGGTAAAAATGTTTCAAGCCACAATTTGTGGCAGATTTTACAATTCTCTGAAAGCACATTTACATTTGGAGGAATATATTTAACTTTTTACATTTTATTCAACACTCATAGTTACAAACTGATCCGTACGTATCAATACACATTATTCTCTGATTTGATGTATTGCTCTACTGATATTCATTAAAAAGTGGCTCAACATTTAAAAAACTACAAAATCAAAAGTGATAAACTAGAATAATATAATGTTCTTCTTCAATTCTGCATAAGTCCTTGATACCTTTTGGTGATAATAAAAGAAACTTATTTTCAGCGTTTTTTGAAATAAGATAATACACAGGACAACATTGCAATGTATTATTTGTAACCCAGACAAATCTGAGGAGTTTCTAAGAGTTACTACTGCAAGCCACTTTTTTCCATATCATCAAATGTGTTTACGTGATCACTGCAGCTCATAATAAACGGAGGAGATCTCATGTAAACACTGTCGCTGTGTTCAGGTGTTTATTCTTAGACCTGCAGTGTGCAAAGGGCAAAGAGAGAGACCGAGGGGGGAGGAGGGGGGGAGACAGAAAGATGAGAGGGTGAGAAACAAAACCAAGAAGTGGAACTCACCGAGCTGTCCAGCACCCCGTTGCCGTCTGTGTCGTACAGCCTGAACATGACTAGAGGGAGAGGAGAGAAGATCTCATGATTTCTCGGATAATTACCCGCTAACATTTGTTCCTCTGATGGCTGCAGGGTGAAGAGCAGCAGCGTCGGGTAGTCAGCAGAGACTAGCCTGAGACCTGAAGGAGGCCTACTGTCCCTCTCCTGCAGTGTGTTGTAGGTTTCTGTGCATGTGGATACATCCAGAGGGAGTTTCTCTCCCACACTGCCGACAACACCTCCTTTTTTCACTACTTGAATATTCTGTAGTGACATTACTTTACCAATCAGAGCAGGCTGAGCTCTGGTTTCAGACAGAGGGTGAAAAGAGGTGCGGCAGCACAGACAGTATGAGAAGAATAAAGAGCTTTAGGAGGAAGCTCTTGGCATCAGTTCTTTCATCTCCGGAGATTGATTGTGACTGACTCTACATTCATACAATTTTCTATATTTCAATAGAGGATCTGAGTACTTGCTGTGTGTGATCACAGTATGTAAACCCCCTGAGGAGGGACAGAAACGTGAGCGATGGGTTCAACCTGAGCACGTTCACACATGACATACGACTCATCCTCCCTGTCACTCACACTCCAGCTTGTCCTCCGGCGTCCCCCTCTCCAGCAGCGACAGGTAGCAGACGATGTCCTTCAGGAAAACCACCTGGGGCGCCGGCAGGGGGGTTCCCTTCTGGGGCGACGGGCTCCTCCGCAGCGACAGATGCTTCTCAGAGCGACTCCTCTCTGTGGAGGAACAACACGCAGGTTTTCTTTTTTTTTTTAAACAACTTTATTTTTCAGTTTATCACAAATACAGTATGTCCAAGATTTATGACAAAAAGTTGCAAATATTAAATATATTTGGCAATCTTTATAGATAAGATACTCGTATTGATTTAATTATAAAAAAATATTGTCATTATTCCTTATTGTTGTTGTGTGTTTAAAAGTTACAGTATTCACTTCACCTTATTTCAAAAGTCAGTTTATTAGAAATATTTGCATTTTTTCCTTTGTTTTGTTAAAGCGTAAAGACATGAGTAACTGAACGTACAATATATACTCTTTAAATTGAAATGGATTGTCTTAATTTACATTATTTAATTTCATATTCTATTGACATGTATATAGACTTTTTGTACTACTTTTTATTTTGTATTTTTGTATTTTATTATATATGTTGCATCGTTGGAGGAGCTCAGGTTTAGAATGATGTCATTGCCATTTCTACACTGTAGCTGAGTGTCGCTGAGCTCACCTGGGGAGAGTTTGGGGGAGGCAGGGGACCGGCCAGGACCAGAGTTGGGGGTCAGGGCGTTGCAGCCGGCCTCTGAGGATCTGACCTGGGAGCAGGGGGACCGATGGGGCCCCCCCGGTGTTTGGGCCCCCTTCCCTGAGCGCTGAGAGGAGGAGCGAGAGGAACAGGGGGAGGTGGAGCTCGCTGCGGTCATCACTGCAGAGTGATCGGGGGTGTGACGACCCATCGCTGACAGGATGCTCTTACCATTCATCCCTGACGAAAGAGGAGGAGGGGGAGGAGGAGGAAGAAGGAGAAGAAAAAGGAGGAAGAAGAATAAGTTAAACGCTGTCACAAGGACAGATACAGGAAGACATTCCTGCCCACTGCAATAACTCTGTACAACAAATCACCTCTGTCCAGAAGAGAGCTCTCTGCTCCACAGCTTCTCTTAATAACTGGACTTAAACTCACACTGTACATTTTACATTTGTATTCTATTTAATATTGAATAATCAATTTCTTGTACAATATAATATCCTGCATTATATTTGTTACTGGCAATGTGTATTTCCACATGTATATTTTTTTACTTTTTACTATTTTATTTATATTTTAGAAATATTTTGGACTGTTTATTTCTAGTGTCTTAATTTCTCTTTTTTTTATGCTGCTACAACGCAAACATTTCCCAAATTGGGATCAATAAAGTACTATCTATCTATCTATCTATCTATCTAATATAAATATAAATGTTATCCAACAGGACTCCTATATATAAGAACAAGTAACAATGATGAGGAAATAATGATAAGAAATCCTTTGTTTTAGTGGCTAAATCAACTCAATTTCATCGCGGGCCACATTAGCATTATGGTTGCACTCAAAGGGCCGGTTGTAACTATATAAATTATAATATAAAATAATGTATTATATTACATTATTGCCTCTGAATTGGATTATTATTGGATAGGGTAATAACTTTGTAATTAACTACGTTTGAAAGCAGAAGTCTAGGGCAAATAATTGCTTCAGTGCGTATGTCACAAAACGAGATGCATTGTGGGACATGTAGTTTATGGGCAACGTGCTTCTGTAAAGTGGCATGTAACCGTATAATTAACGCATTATAATCTTTGCAAGCACTTGCGGGCCACATAAAATGAAGTCGCGGGCCGGCTTTGGCCCCTGGGCCTTGAGTTTGACTAAATCATCAAAAACACAACATGTTACTGGAACACGGGTCTAGCCCCCAGTTATAGTGGGAATAGCCAATGGGAGGCAGGTCACATGACCCAGATATTAACATGGAAGGTGAAGTAATAAAAGCAAAATAGCATTAGATAAGATTACACTGAAAAAAAAAGTGTGTTGAATTAAAAAGTATGTTTATTTAAGTGGTTGCAGAAACAAACATAAATTAGGTCCAGATATATTTTTTGAAATGGACTGTAATTATTATTATTTTTAATTTAATGTCAGGTTTCTTATATTCATAATTTTTTCACAAATATTTTGCGGAATCTAATAATTCCAAGCAAAACCATGTTCAGTTCACTCAAATGGATGAAGTAACAATAAACGGACAAACGGTTTACATATTTAACAATCAGTAAAAAAAGAAAATGTGGAAGCCTATTCCGACAAAATTATTTTTTACATTAAAAAAACGTTAAGACTACATCCGCATTGAGACCGAGATCCTTTACGGCGTGCACTTTGATGGATCCAGAAGCTTCCCTTTAATACGTTTCTGTAAAGGACAATTGGGTTTAGTCAGAATGTTAAACATTACTGTACGAAGAGGGAAGCTCGTTAACAGTAAGGAGCAACAACAAATTAACACTGTAAAACCTTACAATACAACAACAACAAGAACAACAACAACAACAGCATAGAGGTACAAGAAACAGATACAACAACGCGTTAAAACCTTACACAAATTCACAAAGCAAAGTCATCCACTGATCACAGGCAGAACAACAGTCACATCACATCAGAGTCACATCAGCACAACAAGAGCACAGAGAGGGGAGCAGGAGGAGAATTCCAGTCCGCTTTACGCTGAGGGTCTCTGGGGAAACGGCTACCTGTGATGGGGGCACAGGCCACTTCAGTCTGAATGGAGATGCCTGCGTCAATGGAGCGGGCGTCTGCAGTCAGTCAGTGTTCGCAGGGGGAAAACAGCAGCAGCGAGAACGAGTGGAGAAAGAGTTTGCTTTATGTTCCGTATATATATTTATACATAGCATCTGAGAACAGACAAGCACTGTTTACAGAAACCACATGGGTTCAAAACAATAAGGCAATTATCAGGGAGACAGGATTATATACAGGACTGTCTCAGAAAATTAGAATATTGTGATAAAGTTCTTTATTTTCTGTAATGCAATTAAAAAAACAAAAATGTCATACATTCTGGATTCATTACAAATCAACTGAAATATTGCAAGCCTTTTATTATTTTAATATTGCTGATTATGGCATACAGCTTAAGAAAACTCAAAAATCCTATCTCAAAAAATTAGAATAGTTCCTCAGACCAAGNTCTGGAAGGTGGCAACACTCTTTAGAGTCTACGCAATAGAGGCCAGTCGAAACGTTACCTGTAGTTTGCGGCCGTATAACCGACACCTTACGTTACAGCTATCCGTACTGTTTCTTTTTCACCATCCAAAGGCGTTCTAGACGACTGTAGGCATAGGGTTACGACTGGTTGCACAAATTCACGCTACAGTACCTTTTGGGAAAAACTTTCTTTCCTTTTCATCTGTGCTTTCTAAATACACCCTGAAATGGTAGTTGTAGATGTAAATCCACTTGAAATCATTTGGAAAAAAACTGCCATGGTCAAACCCGACATTTTTTGTCCACCTACACCCCGGCGCACAACCGCGTCTACCGGGGTTAGTAACCGACACAGAACAACGTTATTTGGCTAGCATCCCACTTCTTCAACCGCCCGAGTTGCGGAGGTTGCGGAATAGTCTAGATAAATTGTTGACGGGAATTTGTGTTGTTCTCTATGTTAAAATGTCCTTGGTTTTGTCATTCCACCCATGAACCTTTATTTAGTTTAATGTGTGTAACTCCACTGCCGACAAGCTGTACAGTTACGGTTTGTTGTTTAGTTCAGGTAGTTGCAGTCGACATGTCATAACAACATTAGATCCGAGCGGTAACAGAAACGTACGACCTTTTCGGTACTACCTGGGAGAATGCACACATAAATGGACATTCAGGATTTCTTAACAGTTTTGGTTTCGTTTCCTGTTGTTAATCGATACAATATGAACGCATTGTTACTAACCTGTTACAAAGTGAAACGAGTAGACCCTTTTATGTGTTAAGACCCATTACCTAAATTCCTTTTTATCCCCCACCACACAATACATTAGACACAGTAACTGGTGATCCTTAAAACGTCGTTGTATTTGTGTACAAAGTTTAAATACGCCGCGTACTCAATGTCATGTAATACAGGCCACCGTTAGGTGCTTCACACAATATTTTATAGGACGTTCAAGTTATACACCCCGTTATTTACAGGCTACATTTCTTACGGCACAAAGGAAATACTGACTTACCTAATATCGGAAGGAGTAAATGTTGTGTGTTGTCCTAAAAAACCTTTACTTTTAGAATGGACCTTGTTAACGTTTTTGTTTGAAGTATTTGTCTACTACAAAAGGGACGTCAAGTACGTACAAATTCCTTTGTAATTTCTGTATAACCTATTAACTTCGTTGTATTGTAGATGTCCAGTCATGACTTATCCCAAAACATTTATTTCGTCAGCACCTTCTTCATATGTCTAAAAAATGAAGTCATTTAATTCGGTAATATGTTACACGTTCATAAGAGAACTTTCGATACCTCACCTTATATTTTCTGTTAATAAATCCACAAACTTTTATACGTCACAACAATATATGTCAATGTTCTTTTTCATTCACTTGGGAAACCTTATGACTCTAAGACGTATTTAAACGTATTTACCTTCCTTCGGTGACGACAGGTCTTTTGAACGACGGCAAACTTCAAAACGTCTTTCCTTCCGAGATAAACATTTCACCCCTCTGGAGACATGAAGTTCACTTTCAGGATGGACATTTGAAGTGTGTCAACATGTCTGCTCACAGGTCATGACCTTACATTCAGTCTTACAACATTTTAGACTAATCCTCAAGTTGCTCTGGATATTATGGAGAAAGTTCTTATGTGATATCTTGCCTAATTTCTCTTTGGCAATACTATTTGGTCAGTTGACAGACGGGATTTTAGAAGCTGCTGACTATATTGTTCCTTCTTGACCTTAAAGCAACTTGTGACACCATTGATCATGTCACACTTAATTGTTTCTATAAGGACTGGTCAGCTGCAGAAGTCACATGAGCAAAACATCAATTAGGGGCGGACTCATGGTGTGTGGGGGACAGGGGCCAAACAAATGCATGCTGGCACCCAGGGGGGAAGCCAGACTTCAATAGGTTCATGTTTGGCTTCTGAACAACATGTCAAACCACATCCACACAAATGTTTGCTTTTTAAATCCAGATAAAACCTGAATTAAGCACAGTGTACATTTGAGGTTGTGCAAATATACTATTTGACGTTGCATAAAATAACTAAAAGAACAATTTGCATGGCCTTTTGTAGAACAATACAGAACGGACGTCATTGACCGAAGAGCAAACATTGGCCCGTCACAATACAAACATTCTTAACTTATTGTAAATACTGATCTAATGGGACAACTTGTGCAATGAAGGTTGACCCAGCAAGGCCTGACATCCCAGTTTCGAAATCATGAACCAGACAGTTTTTTCCCCTGTGTTCTTCATTTTGTAGGTATGCAAATTAGAGAGATTTCCATTCAAAGGTATCTTTTCATTCAAATCCTAACGTTTTTTAATAAACAACACTTAAGAGTCTCTTTAGGGATACAACTCTTCATATAAGAAACTTGCCCCTCTCTTACATCATGTTATTCCGGTCAGGAATGTAGACAAGCTTTCACCTCTAAACTGTGACCCTCTCTATCGTTGTTTATGCAACAAAGAACATTATTTCTAGCATTATTAACTGAATTCAGCACCTTAATGTGTTGTTTGTGAGAAAATATGATAACAATTTATCACAAAAGACCAAATAAAAATGTCTCAACATGAATTCAACAAGGACATTTATCTTCGATATCACACATAAAGAATCCAAGGAGTTGGGTTTACAGTGGTATTTAAAGATCGAAGACACGATTTGGATTTGGATTTATGCTGTGACATGTTGCTGGCGGTCATAAGAGCGTGAGGAGCGGTTCATGGGCTTCTTCATGATCCGATCAGTGAGGTCAATGAGTGCATAACAGTCACAGCAAGGGAAAACGTTTTGGATGTAATTTTAAAAACATTTGTAAAAATGTTCAAAAAACATTTTGATTTGCAAATTAAAAAGTAAGGTGGAAAATAGTTGAAGCTGTGTAATGTAATCTGAATCTAACCTCAGGAGTACAGATTCTTGGTAAATCAATCATTCGTTACTTAAGACGACCTACATGTTGAAAGTTTAAAGATTTTATCCAGGAGAATACAAATATTTCTCAGATGCACAGATTGCCTCTTTGTGGAATTTAGACGCACAAAATACAGACGGACAAAGTAACAAACTAGCTGGTGAATCGAAGAGTCGGTGGTGACCCAAGCAGAGCTAAAAGGAGATTGAATATTGGATTTAAACTCACAAAATTGTCAAATACATGATTTGCAAATTACATTACATTACATGTCATTTGTTAGATGCTTTTATCCAAAGCGACTTACAGTACACACTCAATACTGTGGGCAATCCCCACAGGAGCAATTTGGGGTGAAGTGTCTCAGGGACACAACGACATGCTGACTGCAGTGGGACTCGAACTTGTTATCCCCTGATTCGAAGTCCAGCACACCATGGTATAAAGTAATACCATCTTGTTTTGAATCAAAATACCCCATTAAATCTGTCAAAAACCCAAAGCTTTTAATTAACAGTGTTATGAAACAAATAAAATGTGCTTTTTTGGTATTTTTAGTTAGTAAATTGTTAAAAGAGATTCATTATCAAAGACACAATTGTCCCAATTAACACATTTTTGCGATATTCCAAACCGGATAATTATTAAAATATTATGACAAATGTGTCAGTGTCTTTCTATGAATGTATAGATAAAGGGCTTACATACAGTACAAGCATGTCAGACTTTGCTTTGCAGCCTTGACACTGTCACTTATGACATTCCTCTTACACTCCTACTATTATATAAACAGTATAATGCAAAGGGTGCATGTTAGTGACCCTCCAGACATAATCTCATAACCGCTCTTTAGGTTTCTATGACATTAAGAACACTTTTGACTGCATTCACTGTCCCTAAATAAATGTATCGTGCCATTTTATTTAATGCCATGCTTAAGGAAAACAAAAACTAACTATGGCAGATCCCTTGGATGAAAACATGAAAGAAAACTACCCGCCCGACATGCCCTTTAGACATTGATATTTCAAAAAGTGGGGGAAATATGTTTTATCTAACCTTTGGATGGCCTATCTCAGTAAAGATACCACTGGGAAAATAAACATGTGACAAAAAGGCTTGGTACAAATAGAAGATTGGGGTATTATCCTGGCATTGAGGGTCAGATTATGTGCAGACTAATTGACATTCTTAAATGTCAGGTTATTAGTACTGTATATCTACTAATTGCAACATCGATGCAGCTGTTAAATAAGTCAAATATAGTCAGTAGTATATACCTTTCATGTCACTGTTTGCATTAAGAAAGTTTTTCTAAAGTCCCAAAATGTCTGCCTTTGATGGGGCATCTCTATTTATAATCCCTGCTAACTCCCTTAATAGTAATCTAAACCTTCTCTTTGCACCTTTTAATGTGAAGAAGCTTAGGATGCACAGAATACATTCCACATGCACTGTATGCAGCTGTTAAGGTTCCCATCAGTGGAACATGGTGGCTTCATGTGGAAAACTGAACTTGTGGTCTCATTTTCAAGGACTCATGAACTTTACACACTGACCCTATTCACACGGTGGAGGGAACTATACCAAGACGATTATTACCAGCAACCTCTTCAGCATACGGTTTCAGGACCACTACAAGTGATTGAGTTTAGCAGTAAACGTAATTACTGTAGCTACTGTACTGTTCAGCTTGGACTACAAATGTCTGAATCCAGAGAATTTCCTGCAGATTCAGCATAATTCAGCAGATAATCTGGGACAATGTGTACTTTTGGGTACTGTAAGATTCCCACAAGGTCAAAATATATCAATAAACTAAAAGGGTCAATAGTGTGGTCAAAGGTGATGATCATTCCAGGGGCTCTGCTAGGATCCATAAACATTCCTAAGATTTCCCAATATTTAAAATGTTTTGTGTTTCAATATACTAATTTCTACAAACTGATAACAATAATAATAATGCATTTATTTTATATAGGCGCCTTTCAAGGCTTTCAAGGTCGCCGTACAAACTCATAAAAAACAAGATACACAATACATAACACCAGCATAAGAGACATAAACAAGACAATGCAGTATATCAATCAATCAAATAATCAAATAAATAAAACAGAGGATGTGTGATGGATAATGATCAGGGTGGATATGCGAGTGGGAAGAGATGTGTTATGAGACGTGATCTGAAGATGGGAGAGAGTTCCAGAGGCGGATTAATCCAGATTAAAACTTGGATTTGATTTCTTGATCTGATCGGGTATCAAAGTGATCCCAAACCTGTCTTTTGGTTTTGAACTCCCCAACATCCAAATCTGATCCCATCAGATTCAAAGTGTTGAACTACTGGGAGGCCAGAAATCAGATTGAAGACACAAATGCAATATGTTGTTTCCATGCTGCATGAATATCTGTAGAGAATGTTTCATTTGATATAATGCAATGTTTTCTGTTACCATACACATACCGAGTGGTGGACAGTAACTAAGCCCAGTAGCCCATGTACATGTGTAAGTAAAGATACTTATTTTCTGAAGCATTATTTATTTCCTGCTCATTTGTACTTCTACTATACTTCTCAAATTCCTCATTTGACTACTTTATTTTATATTGCTGATTCAGATTACTTATAATTAACACATCATTGAACTTTATTAATGAAGCAAATTCAAAAGCCACACATCAGTGTATATATAATAAAACATACAGTAGCTTCTCTTTTATAAGCTGCACAATTTAAGTGATTAAATCAATAGATCAACACTAAAAGATCATATATTTACTGCTACTGTGTTAAAGTAAACATGTAATTGTAGGACTTTAGCGTATACCAGTATTTTTAAACTCCGGTATTACTACTTTTACTTCAGTATCCTGAACTCAATGTGGAGAACAATTATCGAGTCTCATTCATTTACATGTTCTTCATTTATTTAACGCAGACATGTGAGTGTAAATTGCTCACAATATAATGATCAGCATTATTANAGGCGGATTAATCCAGATTAAAGCTTGGATTTGATTTCTTGATCTGATCGGGTATCAAAGTGATCCCAATCCTGTCTTTTGGTTTTGAACTCCCCAACATCCAAATGTTGGGGAGTTCAAAACCAAAAGACAGGATTGGGATCACTTTGATACCCGATCAGATCAAGAAATCAAATCCAAGCTTTAATCTGGATTAATCCGCCTCTGGAACTCTCTCCCATCTTCAGATCACGTCTCATAACACATCTCTTCCCACTCGCATATCCACCCTGATCATTATCCATCACACATCCTCTGTTTTATTTATTTGATTATTTGATTGATTGATATACTGCATTGTGTTGTTTATGTCTCTTATGCTGGTGTTATGTATTCTGTATCTTGTTTTTTATGTGTCTGTACGGCAACCTTGAGAGCCTTGAAAGGCGCCTATATAAAATAAATGCATCATTATTATTAAATCTTCAAAACGGGTAGTTCAAACCGACAACACAGGTCCCACCAGAGGGGTGGATTTCCATTGGATCACCAGAGCAAAATGTACAATTTATTTTAAAATATGTTTCAAAATACAAATAAGATGGCAAAGTTTGTTATCTGAAATAATACACCAATTTTATTTTTCATTTTTTGGTCACGTTTGTGGTGGCCTATTTTGTTTTCAACCAAATATTGATGACATAAATGTTTATCACAAATGTAATTTAGATTAAAGAAAAAAATATCTTCAACAAAGAAAAGTCCATTCATCTGTCATCACCTTTCAAAAGTAATTGCGGACAATAGAAGTCTCTGCAACATGGTCTCTTGTCTTCCTTGTATTCTTTTTCATATCCACTAGCTGGAGAACGGTAGGATTAAAGCACTGATATTCAGGATCTAGTCATCTTGAAAAGTCTGAATCTGGATCAGTGTGATCCTATCCTGAATTGCTTTGAAATACTGGGACAAAATTTGAGTTGTCTGATCCTGGATCACAAGAAATGGGATTTCAACATCTGATCGGATCTGATTGAGATTAAAAGTTTTGAACTCCTGGGCCCTGGTGATTAACAAAAGTGTTTATTCCTACAGACATTAAAAACTGAAATCTAAGGATAGTAAAGGGTTCATTCAGTACAGAAATGAGATCCATCCACACTGCTTCACTCCATTTCTTTTGAAAGATGTCCACCAGGTGTCAGTGCAGGCTCTATCAGCTGACTCACAATGAGAAATAAACCTAAACACACCGAAGCAGCCGCAGAATCACTGAACTGTGTTACTCTATATACTAAGCATGTCTCTAAGCATTTATTTTGGCTCTCTAAGTAGCACTGATCTATTTTTGCCATTGCTAATTCACACACTGCACACACACTCAAAGCCTTATACAGTAACTGCATCTGTTTATCTGCAGGATCAAAAAAAGGATATCCCTGTCTGACATGGGAATATATAGATATATGTAATTATATACTAAGTTCTCTAGATGTGACTTTATATAAACACTGAGTTCATTAACATGGAAGCAATTAGCAAATTACAGAAAAACAAGCGGCATTACCGTTCAAGATGAATTGAATTTGTTTACAAGATTCCTCCTAATCTTTTGTCATGGCATATTTAACACTGTTTATTTGAAGGCATTCTTTTTATAAATTAATTCAATGGATGTTAAGACTTTTTAAGGATCTGCAGGGAACCCGGTTAAGAGTCCACTGACCTTATATTATATTCTAATAAACTGCTAAAATAAATAGTCAATGTACTAATTAGTCAGGTGACAGGACATTTACCAGCAACTATTCAGAGGATAAATAATTTTTTTAAATATATATTCCAAACACTTTGATTACAGCATCAGAGGATCATCTACTTTGAAGGCATGTATGCTACCAATCTGATTATATTGAGGAGTGGTGGTTGGCTGGGCTTAGCTTAGCTGGACAATTATAAAAGGAAATTTGTACTGATGTTATCTGAAGCTCTAAAAAATATGTATTGAATATTCATTTGTCATGCCTCAAGAATTCAAACAATCATTAGTAACTGAATGTCCACAGGGAAACTCTACAGGGCAGCTTTCATTTATTAAAACCCCCCTGAAAGAAGACATTTGTTGAGTTTATCAGATCATTCGTAATGCTCACAAACTAGAAAGCCGCCAAAAGTGAAAAAGTGAAAGCAAGGACATCATAAACTAACTGCGACTCTCAGCCAATGATGCTGCACTGACATTTGGCCTCGCTGCACTTGTTGCCTCTAACTTTTACAAGCTCTCCACCACAGAAATAGATTCTCAGTTCCTCCGTCCATCTGTCCGCTCAGCTGCTCTCAGAGAGGAGCAGACTTCAAGCCCCGGGGGCCACGCAGCACTCACATGGACGGATGGATGGAGGGACACAGTTTGCACCTGCAGCGAGGTGCAAATGACCTACAGCACCTGAAGACCTCGGCTCTGCTCAGCGTGAAACCCTCAAGCAAACAGTGATGGGTGAATATGCCTGTCTGTGTGTTTATCTGCAGGATTTTGGGTTGTTTGTTTGTTTTTGCTGCAAAGAAATAGGGTGAATTGTAGACTCTGAGGATACACATTTTTTCATGGTATCTTTATGTTTTTTTAAAAGTTTCTATAATAGAAAAAACATAGAAAGAGCTGAATAATTAGAGATTTCCCAGTACCTACATTTTGTGTAAAATTGCGTTGACTTTGTGTTTTGGAAACACCAAAAAACAACTACGATGGTAATCCACAGGTAATCCACTAAGGGCGTCCCACTTTTTCAGTATTCAACATGAGATGTCCTTGGTATGGTGTCTGAGATTTGCTTGTATACAATTTGATCACTTTCCATTACTTAAACAAATGTACTGTAATCATATAATCTGATGGGATGATTTTAGGGTCAGATTGTGTTCCATTTCCAGACCTTGTTTCAAAAGAGTTGTGGCAGATGTTTATTTTAAACCGAATATGCACGGATGAAAGGAAAGTAGGGGTACACTGCATCATTGCATTGTTGTATCATTCTCTGAAAGAAGCAAAAAGATGAATGCACTTCGCTAGGTATACAAATACAAGCAGCCTACCCAGTAAACTGGTTCCTGCTCGGGAGTGATCGGGGGAGCCTCCTCCGGTCTTGCTCTTGAAGGAGGTGAAGAGGTGCTGACACAGCTCCTCTGGGATGTCGTTCTCCAGGTATGTGGCCATGAAGAGCTGGAAACCCTCATAATCAATGGGCTGCATGGGGAAGGAAAGAGCGTATTCGTTAACAAAACACTCAAGGACAATGAATGAAGTTTACACCAACCATGGATGGAAACAAGAGAGAGATGAAGGAAGCGATGGACCTCCTTTCGATTAAATCTGCCCTGAAATGAAGGTATGCAGCCTGGACTGTGATTGACATGCCGGCATCTTCTTAAAATTAACAGCTGAATGACAATATGGTTGGAAGCTATTAATGAGGTTTTATAGCAGAATTGTTTTAAAGTAGGGCTGGGAGATAGCCTATAGCAGAAAAAGTCATGAGGGTTAAATATTTCTTGATATTGAATTAAAAAAGTACAGTGGTAGATTATGGCCAGGATTTAGGTTTAAAATATTCAAAAATAAAGTGGAAATGCTACAGTGTTGACATCATGTCAAAGCAGCTATGTATTCTGCTACAGACTGAAATTAGCACGCTAACTGATTAGCTTAGCCCTCGTTGTTGCTGACGCTAACTGAATCTCAGCTTAAACTGTAAACGCAGACTAAAAAAGCTGTACAACATAGTGCCAGTAGTTTTTTGGCCACTTTGTACTAGTCAATTTACAAACTATCATAAATGGAGGGTAAAGACTTATTAGTGGCACCAACACATATGGCTAACGTTAGCTATAGGCTAGCGCAAAAAAGTGATACTTTCGAAAACAATTTTGTTATTGCTCTTACATGACGACTATACCCCAAAATATAACCGTTCGTATCGCCCAGGTCTACTGTAAAGGTGTTTTCTATCCACCACAGATTATTGTCTTAATGGTTAGGAACAGCAGACCGGAGGTGATGGAATCTGCGTCCAGATACAACCTTATATGACAGTCTGATGGAGAAGAAAGCAATATGTCATATTCACACTGATTATCCTTCTCCCTGCCACACCACCATCTTTCACTGCCATGTGGCGGGGGCATAGCGGCACTCATCTCAACCCAACACCCCCCCGTGACCTCCGCCCTCTGACAGGGGACAGACCATCTGCAGCGGCGTTGTGTTCGTGGACAGAATGTGCATGCAGTCTGATGACACAGACACCACACAGCATGCAGAGCCCGCCGGCCGAGGCTTACTTGGTTCAGAACGTCTTGCTTCTGTTTAACAGTTGGGACAATGACGAAGAGGAGGAGTGAGGAAGGAGTGAGGGAGGGGGAAGAAGAGAAGGTTAGCTGCCGTGTGGAGGGGGGTAGTCAGGGTGCAAAGTGGTGAAAGTAGATTCTTGTAATCAAAGTAGGATTTCTAAATTGTAAAAAATACTGTGCTACAAGTAAAAGTCATGCATCCCTTGAAATGTTTAAAAGCAAATTAAAAAACCTATCTTTTTTAATATGGCTTTTCATTTTGGTTTAACTTTCAATTCTCACTCGTATCATCGTCCATGTTTTACTGTATTTTACATTTTTAATCTTAAACTATTTTAATTTATTGTCAGCTTTAATTCAAGAGAATTTCATTAGGATCACTGTAGATGTTTTATCTTGTTCTGTATTTATTTTAATATTGTTATGTTTTCTTCAGGGTTCATACACTTTTTCACCAACGATTTTCAATGACTTCTCCAGGACCCTTACCTAATTTTCCATGACCAAAACAATAACTATTTAACCACTGAAAATGGTTTATTTTAACATGGAACAGGAAAATAACGTCTGCATATGAAACATGTTGTGCCTATCTAAAACAAATCCAATGGTAGGCTTACTAGCTTCTACACGCTAAAGCAACTCAAATCTCTCACCAGCAAAACACCTCGTCAGTTAAATGCCATTTTACGTTTCATTTCTATACGATACAGTATTTATTATCATTATATTACTATTTTGGCGATTAGATAAAATATAAATTATATTT